CAACTATGTGATTGATTGTTGATGTTCTACTTGGACCGTGTTATGTTATGTATTGATTTGTTGTGCTAGTTGGTGTGATATGGCTTATCTGTCTCAATTGGTATTGAGAGATAAGTTTGTGTGTTTTCTCGGTCGTCTCAATTGGTAATGGAAGACAAGTTTGGTTTTTATGTCTTCTTTCTATAACTTGTAAAGTCGAGTTTTGTTTCTTTTTGCCTAAGGCTTTGATAAGTCAGAAAAAATGAAGGTTGTGTTGCCCATAAGGCTTTGGGCTTAAGCATAATTGATACTCATGAGGCTTATAGAAGTAGGAGAAACAAATCTTGAGAGTAAGACTTTGGGCTTAAGCAAAGTATACTTGTAAGGCTTATGGAAGCAAGAAGAGGAAAGTCTGATCGTAAGGCTTTGGGCCTAAACATAGTATTACTAGTAAGGGTTATGGAATAAGGCAAAATGAATCAAATTGTACTACTTTGATAAGTAAGATGCTTTGGTAAGCAAGTGTTGTGATAGTATGGAGAATGGCATATTTTTTGGTATCACTTGGTGGTTATGTGATTTCGTGTGATGTTGTTTACTATCACTTAGTGGTGATACATTGTGGTGTTTCACGAATGTGATGTAATTTCATGGATTGGAATGGATTATTTGAATAGTGTGGGTAAGTGTGGATATTGTTTACTATCTTGTATTATTTTTTGGTTAGTTCATATTTGTTTGTTTGTGTTTGTGCAATAATCGTATAACTCTACGAAAAATGATGTTATATCATGTTGATGTTGTTTAGAGTGACAAGACACATGGANTCTCTTATTTATATTATGTTAAGATAGAAACTTTGACCATTAGGAAGAAAGGTAGAAACTTTGAGAGTGTCGTGAGAGTGAGAGTTTGATCAAGTGAAGATATGTGAGAGTGCGGGGTGTAGTAGAAAGACATTGTTATTCTAGGAAAAGGCTTAGCAGGAAACTCAGGTAAGGGGAGCGATCCTTTGTTGTTTTACTTTTGATTGAGACATTGTTTGTTCCATGTTGTGTTTGTCAGTCCTGGCCATGATTCTATTATGTTAGTATGATTGATTGTCACTATTGTTGTTAGTGATTGTTCATTGAATCTTTCGTTGTGCCTAATTCTGCTTCCACATTGTTATCTTTTTATATAATTGATATCTTGTCCTTGGTTTATAAAATGTAGGTTTCTTTGTCCACATTGGTTATCCTTTTGTTTGATTGTGCTACTTTTATCTTCTTTTTGAGATGCATGCTAATCTTTATGAGATATGTTATTACTATAGTGATCTTTTACTATGCCGTGGTGTTTTACCTGACATCATAGTGTTTTTACGTAGTCGTGGTGTTTATGGGGCAAAGGTAATGGGTGATTATGTGTTAGCACTAGTTTAGAGGCTTGCCTATAATGTACTATGTTATTTTCAGTTCATGTTTGGTTCTGAAATTGATGCGTTGTTGGACCATGATTGGGAGGGTGCAAGGGTTCTTTTATGTCTTCAAAAAATAAATCGGTAAATTCTTAGGTTGGATAAGTTTCCTTGGGCCATATGATTTGTGCATGTGAATAAATTTTTGAGAAGTTTCGGAATTTTCGCATGGTGCATGGTACATGGTGCTTGTGAATACTTAAACATACTTTCTGAATCTATGCATGACTTTATTTTCCATATTTGCATGAATGGATGTTTTGTAAAGGTACCTTATACGGGGAAGTTCCATAAAAAAACTAGTGTCTAAGTGTGGATTAATCACAAAATGTAAGGGTGTTGGGTTGGTTGGGTTGTTATGTTATGCGTTTTGATGAATCAAGCTATTATTTTATCTAGTTGTGCTATTTATGCATGATCTAAGTTGGTTCTGGTTGGTCCAGGTTGTGTGCATCCTAACTTGTATAGATTCATGTTAGAGCTAAGTTGTCTGATCTATGTTTTAATCTAGATATATGTTATTATTTTACTCATTAACTAATGTTTTGATCTAGATATATGCTATTATTTTACTCATTAACTAATGTTTTAATCTAGATATATGCTATTATTTTACTCATTAACTAATGTTTTAATCTAGATATATTTTACTCATTAATTTGTTGCCATGTTGTCTTATGATGCTTGAAGCATGTGACCGAGTTGTTTTACATGTAACCATGTTGTTTTAGGGCCATGTCGAGTTGTACACAATGCTACCATAATGTTTAGGGCTTGGTCGAGTTATATGTCTTTGTTGCCATGTTGTTGTAATGCTTGCCATGCTATTTAAGCATGTTTCCACAATATTGCCATGATGTTTGGGTATGTTTTGGACTATTGCCATGCTTATTTTTGTACGTGGATGGGCTAAGTTGACCGAGTTGTGTTGGCTGAGTTTTGTTGGTTGAGCTGGATTAGTCGAGTTGTTTCAAACTGAGTTGTTTGGGACCTTGGTTTTGAGGTTCTAGAGCTCAGCCTGTGAGTTCTAAAGCTCGACCATGAGGTTTTTAGTATTAGTTTAGTTGTATGAGAGGTTTGTTAGATCACATTGGTTGTTAGCCGAGTTAGCCTATGTGTTTTAGAGATTGACTTGTAGGTGTTTTACCTTGACTAAGCTATTTGTGATTATTTTCGAGCTGTTTGTGATAATTGTTGAGTTGTTTGTGATGAATGCTAAGTTTCATGTGTAAGGGTCCAACTATGTGATTGATTGTTGATGTTCTACTTGGACCGTGTTATGTTATGTATTGATTTGTTGTGCTAGTTGGTGTGATATGGCTTATCTGTCTCAATTGGTATTGAGAGATAAGTTTGTGTGTTTTCTCGGTCGTCTCAATTGGTAATGGAAGACAAGTTTGGTTTTTATGTCTTCTTTCTATAACTTGTAAAGTCGAGTTTTGTTTCTTTTTGCCTAAGGCTTTGGTAAGTCGGAAAAAATGAAGGTTGTGTTGCCCATAAGGCTTTGGGCTTAAGCATAATTGATACTCATGAGGCTTATAGAAGTAGGAGAAACAAATCTTGAGAGTAAGACTTTGGGCTTAAGCAAAGTATACTTGTAAGGCTTATGGAAGCAAGTAGAGGAAAGTCTGATCGTAAGGCTTTGGGCCTAAACATAGTATTACTAGTAAGGGTTATGGAATAAGGCAAAATGAATCAAATTGTACTACTTTGATAAGTAAGATGCTTTGGTAAGCAAGTGTTGTGATAGTATGGAGAATGGCATATTTTTTGGTATCACTTGGTGGTTATGTGATTTCGTGTGATGTTGTTTACTATCACTTAGTGGTGATACATTGTGGTGTTTCACGAATGTGATGTAATTTCATGGATTGGAATGGATTATTTGAATAGTGTGGGTAAGTGTGGATATTGTTTACTATCTTGTATTATTTTTTGGTTAGTTCATTTTTGTTTGTTTGTGTTTGTGCAATAATCGTATAACTCTACGAAAAATGATGTTATATCATGTTGATGTTGTTTAGAGTGACAAGACACATGGAGAAATCTTATAAATAAATTTTGAAATATATTTGAAAAAATAATATATTAATTTGAAATTTTCAAACATTATTATAATATATACTTTAGATTATTTTTTATTTTCACATTATTTTAATTGTTTTCACGATAATAAATAAAGTATTTAATTTTTCGTTATTTCGTAATAGTATAAAAATCACTTTTTCTTAAAGTTAATTAATTTCACTAAACATCATAAAAAAAAGTCTTTAAAAAGAAAAGAAATTGTGCTAGAAAAAAAAATAATAAATAAAACCTAAAACCTAAAATTGAAACAATAAGATAATTACAAAAGTTAAGAAGATCTAAAATAATCTAGAAAATGGTAGAATTATTAGTTCAAGTATATAAATAGGTAAAGCCACTTTTTGTAACATACATGAAAGATCAATATAAACTCCTCCACATTATTCATTCAAAACTATTTTTTACAACTTATATTTACTTCATTATACTAACATAATAACTACCTTTTTTTTCTCTCTTAAAATTCTAATAGAAACAATAGTTGACCTTATGATTTTTTATTATTTCACTAAAAATTCTAGTCACCAAACTTTCATACGAAAAAAAGGATAGAAAAAAGAGAAAATGCATACCTTATTGAATAACTCCATATCTTTATAGCATAATACATTTTCGGAGTCCACATCGACGTAGTTTCCTTTACAATTTTTTTGTAGGGACTATTCATAAATTAAGAAAATTCCTTAGTCTTTGATTTTTTTTTTTAGAGTAAAATCCTTAAAAATAGAAATTCATGAATTAAAATAAAATTAAATCAAATCACCTCATATAGTTCATCAGAAATAAGTGCCATTCCATGAGCAAAAGGGATTCCATAGTCATGCTCCCTTCTAGTTGTTATTGGATTCCCCAAAAGGTATCCCTAAAGAAAAAAACACTTCATTATCAGAAAATAAGTTGTTATATAAAAATTCATCTTTTATTATTAAAAAGTAAATAATTCCTTTCACTTGTTACATAATTCCATTTTTAGCTTTTGTTTAAAATCTTATTTCCAGCTTTTTCATGATGCATTCTACTATATTACCACAAAGAGTACCAAATTATATAGATCATCATGGGATTATGTTATTATAAAAGGAGAACATTATATATATATATATATACTTTTTCTCATCTGTTATCCTAATACTATTGATTATTAGAATTTTTAATTTGATATCTAACTTGTTTCGTTTCACTAAATTTTCTTCAGATAATCCTAGAGTGAGAAAAAAGTTCTTTCCATTTGTTTCTCTTTTTTTTTCTTAATTACAAAAGTTGAAGATATAGTATATTCTTTTATTAATATCTACATCATTGAGTCTTTATCAAACAAGCTTTGGCTCATTGAACTCGGTCATTTTTGTGATCACCAAAACTAAAATTAAAACTTCTTTTCCCATTATTGTAATTAGTGACTATTCAAAACCTTTTATCCTTAATAATAATAATTTTAATAAAGATATTTTATGTTGTGGGTGTATTTCAATATTTTATGATCTTTGTCTATTAGTATTTTCAAAACAATGTTATACTAAAATTAAAATATGAGTTTATTTGAAAATATTTAAAAAAATATTTTTGTGAAAGAATATTGAAATGAACGATAATAAATTTATTTTTAATTAAATTTATGAATTTGAAAATATTGTTTACGACTAACCTTTTAGAATGAGAGTGTTTTCTTTCTAAAATCATTCTTTTTAATATTTTTTTATCTTGTTAGTGTTGATTATTAAGATATTTTTTTTATACTACGTTGAATCTTTTTAGTTTACCTTTTTATAGTTTCATCATAGTTGAAATAAACTTAATTTTTTTTTCATAACTCTAATTTAAAACATATAGCATAAAAGAATACTTTAAAATGCTAACCTGGAGATTTATCCTTGGTTGAAACCCTTTCTCATTACCTGAAGTAATGAAATATGCTAATACATAATTATAACAAACTACAGTAATTTAATGATATGATTTACATTCCAGACGTCACCAATTAACGGTCTAATGATTGTTAATGTGAGGTTCTAATTTTTTAAAATCATTTAGAAACATTTTACCTTGTGCAATTTCTTGAACAATTGCTGGAACGGGAATGCCAGAATATGAATCACCAGCAATGTAAACTTCGTTTGACAAAAATTTTGGATGATCAATTAACCACTACAAACAATTAAGCATTATTGCGATTCACTAACAAATGTATTCTAAAATAAAGAAATAAAATTTGGATGAATACCTTCCTTAGAAATTGATGGGCTTGACGAGCTAACAACGTATCTCTACTTTGAGCAGCAAGTTCTGTTGTGGCATAAGTAAAGCCTGTGAAAACAGGCAAGTCTACATATATAATGTTACTAACCTACCAAGAGGACAAAAAACCATAAGAAAGACCGAATTTGAAAGCAGAAAATGTATTTTTCCTTTTTTAAATATATGAGGAGAAATGTTTTCTTTAGTGTAATTTGATGATAATGTAGACTAGCACCTTGTTCCATGATTGATTCCTGAAGATCAAGTTGGGTGGACCTCCATTGTACTCCTCCTGTTTTAATGCAAGTGGACCTGTATCACCCATACAGAGTAAACATTGTTTTTTTCTCATTCTAAGCGCAAAATGAAAAGGAAAATAAACTGTGTTACCTATTTCAAGAAAAAGGGCACTTAGGCCTGAGCAACCAGGGCCACCGGATAGCCAAAGCAGGAGAGGATCTTCCTTGGGGTTGTTATCTGACTCAATGAAGTAGTAAAATGTCTGCACATCCTCTGATTCTCCCACTCCCACTCCCACTCCCACATACCTTTAGTTTCATCAGTTTCAACCAAATGCTTTCCATCTCATAACCCAAAACTTAAACCGTATATAGGATTAGTAGTTAGCACTAAGAATTTAACTTACCCAGTTTCAAGAACAAAAGGAAGGGGTCCCTCGAATCCTGGAAGGAACTTCACTCTGGAGGCACAAGACGCTGGTTCAATGGAATAGAGTGATAAAAGAAGTAGGAAAAGTAGAATACCACGGTGAACCAAATCTGATGAAATGACACTTGACTTCAACTTTCCCATTTTTTTATGCTCTTTTCTCAACCTTTTCTCTCATCACTCTCATGCTTTATAGCTGGAGCTACCTTCTACAACTTTCCTGGTGAGCCGAGGACTGATATAAGGACAGAAAGTAAAAGCCAATCAATTTCAATCCCTATCTTCCTGTAACTGCATGTTCATGTAGGCCAACCTGTGAATTCGATAAATCAAATTTTTGACCAATCTAAAAGTTGGATTCTTCAAAATATTAGTCCGTAAGATTGTTTTTACGCAGTTTTCAGCTTTTTTGTTGGATTTTTTCTGTAGTTATTGAATTTTAGGGCTTTAATAACTGAGACTTTGGTCCGTACGGTAACCCTGAATTAAATTCTGTACCAGGTGGTAAGTTTGGTCATTGGTGGACGAAGTCAGACGCTTAAAATATGTGATGTTAAATTGGACACCTATGACGTTCTCTCTGACAATATTTATTATAAGGTTTTATTATTAATCGTGAGTTATATTTTTAAGATATTTTTTTATATTAATATAAGGGTTTTATAAAATTTAGAATTTTATTAATATTTTATTTGATTATTGAAATAAATACATATTTTTCTAAAAGGATATTTTTATGATCTAAGTTTTATTTAAGATTTTGTATTTTATTTTTAATGATTTATTTTAGTAAAGTCAAATATATTTTACAGGCTTCACTTCTTTACAAACACTTCAAATTATGTCGAGCTTTCAAATTTGAAAAGTCACCCATACTGGTCTGCTTAGAGATTATGTGTGTAAAGATAATAGGACGCTCATGAAGTACGTTGTATTAATTACTTTGTAGACAATGTTATTTATCGTAAATATTGGATTTCTCTTTACTTGATTGGATCTAATTTGTAGAGATAATTATCAAGATAAATTTACTAATGATGTTGGTAACATTTTCCAGCAAAACCCTCCAATGATAGACACTGCAAATTTTCCGACCAACCCACTACATCTTGAGCCAATCAAAATGACCGACATTTTACATACCTAACACTCTTTCAAGTCTGATTTGATTCCTCCTCTCTAGCTTTCCCTCTGAACTAATGGTCACAAACAGAACAATGCCTACTACCGAGGCCATCACAACGAAGAACATGAGGGAAACCCGTCATCCATTCTAGCATATCCGAGAAATTGAAAATAGGTCTTCTAACACCAAACCCAATTGCTTTCAACCTCTTTCCTCCTCCACACTCTCCATATTCCTTACATCATTCAGCAAACCATCTTCAACATGTTTCATCCACAAAATTGATTTCCATCGTCATAACCGTGACACTGATGAAATCCTTTCACAACTCGTGTTTTTCAAAATCATACTGCACCTAACTCAGATCTCCAAAAAATATGTGAGTATTCAAATGAAAGGCCTTTGAGTCTAGATTCTAACCCAAAAAGTTTCATTGCATTTAGAGTTCTATGGAAAAATATATGAGCACAACAGTGAGCCAAGGTCAGTGCCAGAAACGAAACTGCAAAGCCTGATTTCGAAATCGTACTGCACCTAACTCAGATGTCCAAAAAACTATGTGTGAGTACTCAAATGAACGCCCTTTGAGTCTAGATTCTAACCCAAAAAGTCTCATCGCANTATATATATATATATATACTTTTTCTCATCTGTTATCCTAATACTATTGATTATTAGAATTTTTAATTTGATATCTAACTTGTTTCGTTTCACTAAATTTTCTTCAGATAATCCTAGAGTGAGAAAAAAGTTCTTTCCATTTGTTTCTCTTTTTTTTTCTTAATTACAAAAGTTGAAGATATAGTATATTCTTTTATTAATATCTACATCATTGAGTCTTTATCAAACAAGCTTTGGCTCATTGAACTCGGTCATTTTTGTGATCACCAAAACTAAAATTAAAACTTCTTTTCCCATTATTGTAATTAGTGACTATTCAAAACCTTTTATCCTTAATAATAATAATTTTAATAAAGATATTTTATGTTGTGGGTGTATTTCAATATTTTATGATCTTTGTCTATTAGTATTTTCAAAACAATGTTATACTAAAATTAAAATATGAGTTTATTTGAAAATATTTAAAAAAATATTTTTGTGAAAGAATATTGAAATGAACGATAATAAATTTATTTTTAATTAAATTTATGAATTTGAAAATATTGTTTACGACTAACCTTTTAGAATGAGAGTGTTTTCTTTCTAAAATCATTCTTTTTAATATTTTTTTATCTTGTTAGTGTTGATTATTAAGATATTTTTTTTATACTACGTTGAATCTTTTTAGTTTACCTTTTTATAGTTTCATCATAGTTGAAATAAACTTAATTTTTTTTTCATAACTCTAATTTAAAACATATAGCATAAAAGAATACTTTAAAATGCTAACCTGGAGATTTATCCTTGGTTGAAACCCTTTCTCATTACCTGAAGTAATGAAATATGCTAATACATAATTATAACAAACTACAGTAATTTAATGATATGATTTACATTCCAGACGTGACCAATTAACGGTCTAATGATTGTTAATGTGAGGTTCTAATTTTTTAAAATCATTTAGAAACATATTACCTTGTGCAATTTCTTGAACAATTGCTGGAACGGGAATGCCAGAATATGAATCACCAGCAATGTAAACTTCGTTTGACAAAAATTTTGGATGATCAATTAACCACTACAAACAATTAAGCATTATTGCGATTCACTAACAAATGTATTCTAAAATAAAGAAATAAAATTTAGATAAATACCTTCCTTAGAAATTGATGGGCTTGACGAGCTAACAACGTATCTCTACTTTGAGCAGCAAGTTCTGTTGTGGCATAAGTAAAGCCTGTGAAAACAGGCAAGTCTACATATATAATGTTACTAACCTACCAAGAGGACAAAAAACCATAAGAAAGACCGAATTTGAAAGCAGAAAATGTATTTTTCCTTTTTTAAATATATGAGGAGAAA